CTTTTATCTTTATTCTTACTTGCAATTATATTAACTGTGAAAACTAACCCATCCATATTGATTACTGCTCACTCTACCCACCAACTTCCGCACACAATCTAAAGTTCACAAGAACTCTAGATTAACACTCATTTTCACGTTTTCAAAAGAAACGAAAAAGTTTTAAATTTGTAACAAAGTCTATTCACCCCCCCCCCCCTCTAGACTTTGTATCTCACCACTTCGGGACCACCAAGAAGAAAGGAGAACAACCCAAGCGGCCTTGGACGGAGAAGTGGTGTACCTACCACCAATCTTACTCCCACAATACGGCGGATTGCCGAAACGTCAAGGCTGTGCTCAAGGAAATAGCCTTGAAGGGAGAACTTGGAGAAGGTAATATGACGGGGCCTAAAAAGGACCCGAAAGCAAACACTTGGACGCATCCTCAGGAAAAAGAGCAAGGAAGGAGGAAAGGCAGGGATAACAATAAGCCAAATAAAGAGTTCATCGAGATGATTGTTGGAGGCCCGGAAGGCAGGGATACTGCCTCCCATCGGAAGAACTGGGCCAGGAGTCTACATGTGTCAGTGGTTTCCCTGGAACCACAGGGGAAGCAAACAAGAGGAGAACCTATCACTTTCACTGATAGGGATCTGCCCAGGATGGGGGAGATCACAATGACCCTTTGGTCATTACAATGGATATCAATGGAGCTGATGTGGTCAGGGTCTTGGTTGACACAGGAAGCAGTGTCAATGTTTTATACTTGGATGCTTTCAAGAAATTGAAGCTGGACAGGTCCATGCTGAGACCATTGCAAACTCCATTGTCAGGCTTCACTGGAGCTGGCATAGAAGCGGAAGGTCAGATCACCTTACCGGTTACTTTGGGGTCGGGTAATAGGATTGACCAAACAAATGAGATTTGTTGTGGTCGATATCAAGTGCGTGCATAATGTCCTTCTGGGTAGACCTGGAATCAACAAGGTCAGGGCCATCATTTCTATGGCAAACTTATGCAGGAAGTTGTACACTCTCAATGGAATCGGGGAGGAAAGGGGTGATCAAAAGAACGTCTGGTCCTGTTATCTAGAAGCGGTCAAGAAGATGAACCGTCAGTTTGAACAAATTGAATTGGTCTCCCAGCAGGTAGACAAGGGTGAGGAGAAGGCTAGGATCGAGCCGGATGCTAACACGGAATTGATCCACGTTGATGCTTCCAGCCCTGAAAGGAAGGTCAGGATCAGGGTGGATCTTCAGGAGGAGCTAAGGACTGAGATTGTCCAGGTGCTGACCAAGTATAAATCTTTGTTTGCCTAGAGTGTTGGTGACATGCCCGAGATTGACCGGTCAGTCATTTACCATCGTCTCTCTGTTCTTTAGGGGTCTAGGCCCATAAGACAGACGAAGAGATTCTTGGCAAGTGAGCGGAGGGACTTTGTGAATAAGGAGGTCAAGGACTTAATCGAGGTAGGTCACATCAGGGAAGTAAATTTCCCTGGCTGGTCAATGTTGTCTTGGCCCCAAAAGGTGATACCTGGAGGATGTGTGTGGACTACACAGACCTCAACAAGGCATGCCCGATGGATTCCTACCCACTCCCTAGCCTGGACCAACTGGTGGACGAAACTTCCGGGTGTGAATTACTCAGTTTCATGGATGCCTTTAAAGGGTATCATCAAATCTTCATGGCAGAAGAAGACGAGGAAAAGACGGCCTTCCTCACCTCAGACGGTACATACTGTTACAGGGTGATGGCCTTTGGGTTGAAAAGCTCAGGGGCAACTTACTAGAGAATGGTCAACAAATTGTTCAGGCCTTTGCTTGGACGGACCATGGAGGCCTATGTGGATGATATGCTAGTGAAGAGCAGGGCAGCTAGCACACACGCTCAGGACCTGGAAAAATGTTTTGAGATTATGGCCAGGCATAATCTCAGACTCAATCCAAAAAAGTGTGTTTTTGCTGTAAGGACGGGGAAGTTCCTGGGCTTCATGGTCACGAAGAGGGGGATTGAGCCAAATCCTGAGAAGATCAAGGCCATTATTGAGATGTAACCCCCAACTTCAGTAAGAGATGTCCAGAGGTTAACGGCGCACTTGGCGGCCCTAAACCAGTTCTTGTCCAGGTTGGTAGAGAAGGCTTTGCCTTTCTTTGAAGTTTTAAAGAAAGCCAACACCTTCGAGTGGGACGACGAATGTGCTAGGGCATTCGAGGAACTAAAGACATACCGAACATCGGACATTGTCTTGTCCAAACCAGAAACAAAGGAGACACTTTACCTCTACTTGGGGGTAACTCAAATGGCCGTCAACTCGGTCCTGATGAGGGATGACGAGATCCAGTGGCCCATCTACTATGTAAGCAAGGCCTTAAATGGGGCGGAAAGTAGGTATACTCCTACAGAGAAAGCTGGGTATGCTCTTTTCATAACAGCAAAGAAACTTACTTCCTACTTTCAAGCCCATCCAATTGTTGTATTGACCAACCTACCATTGGGCACGGTCATGAGGGACTCCACCTCGTCTGGAAGAATGATCAAATGGGCAATGATGTTGACTCAGATCAACATCGAATATCATCCGAGGACGGCGATAAAAGGGCATGCCGTGGCCGACTTTCTTGTGGAGATGACAGGTCATCAAGAAGAAGAACCGACTAGGGCCATCTCCGAGCCTTGGTGGTCCATGTCGGTAGATGGAGCTTCCGGACCGAAAGGTTACGGGGGAAGTGTGGTATTCACAACTCCGAGAGGGTTCAAGGTATATCATGCCTTGATCTTTAATTTCAAGCTCACAAACAATGAGGCAGAGTATGAGGCATTGATAGGGGGTCTGAGATTGGCCAAAACTCTTCAAATCACATGCCTCAGGATTAAGTCCGATTCCATCTTGGTGGTAGGCCACATCAATGGCAACATGGAGGCCAAAGGAGAGAAGATGCAGAGGTACAGAGACTTGGCAAGGGCTCTACTAAAGGACCTAACGGAGTATGTGATGGAACAGATCCTGAGGGGGGAGAACATTGATGCTGACATGCTATCAAAATTGACGCAAGCAGCCCTGGAGCATGTGTCTAAGCTAGCCAGGATTGAGACACTATAGAAAGCTAGCATTGAAGGGTTTTCTGTTAGCCTGATAGAGGAGGATGGACAGCCCAATCCAGATCCAGATCTAGTGGAAGCGGATGATGTTTGGATAGATGATTTGGTCAGGTTTTACATGACCGGGCAATTCCCTGAAGATGAGGACAGGGTGAGAAAAGTAAAGTTGAGGGCTCCAAGATTCCAAATTCTTGATGGAAGGCTATACAAAAGAGCATTCGGCGGTCCGCTGCTAAGATGCTTGACCAGGGCAGAGGCAGAAAGAGTGATCACCGAAGTTCATGAGGGTGTCTGCGCAGCCCACCAAATGTCCAGGACACTTGCCCAAAGGATCATTTTGCTAGGTTACTTTTGGCCTACAATGAACCAAGATTGCGAGAAGTATGTCCAAAGGTGCAAGACTTGCCAGGTGTTCTACAAGTTTCTAGGAAGGCCTGCGACATACTACCACCCAGTTTCCAATTTTATTCCATTCGCAAGGTTTGGGATGGACATCATTGGAGCCTTCCCTCAAGCTCAAGGGAGAAAGAAGTATTTAATGGTCGTTATCGACTACTTCACAAAATGGTTGGAGGCCGAGGCATATGCAACCATTACAACCAAGCAATGCCAACGCTTCGTTTGGAAGAACATCATCACTCGGTTCGGGTCTCCGCGGAACATCGTGACGGATAACGGGCCTCAATTTCGGAATCCAGGGTTCACCATGTAACACATCTATGTGGCTACATTTTGGTCCTATCAAAGCACTCAATTGCTTGAGCCCTTAGGCGGGGAGTCACGCTTCGCCACCATTCCCAAGGATCATGAGTTGGCTGTGTGTATCTCCCTAAGCTGTGTGTCCCATACCACACATATTAGAAAGATATCTACCTCCACCAGCTACATGTATCTTACCAAGCTGTATGTCCCATACCACACAGATTAGAAAGATATCTGTCTCTAGCCTCACTTTGCTCCGATACCAAATTGTAACACCCTAATTTGTCCAGGTCTGCAGCCCCTTTCGGACTAAAGTATTAACTTGGTAATCGTAAAAATTTAAAACATTTTAACATCTTTATTTATCATAAAATAATATTCCATACATAACAGTAATAAATTACGGAGTTCTTAACCATAATGCGGAAGCAATTTAAATCATATCTCATAACAATTTAATTTAATCATTTTAAATCATAAATCCACCACGATCGCCTCGCCCCTTCTGCTGCCAGGAACATGTCAATTACTCGTTCTGCCTACCTACGTGTAGCAAATAAAACACACTATACGCTCAGCGGTGAAGCTGAGTAAGCATATCTAAAGCGTCGAACATCCACATAAATTGAAGCTCAATTCACAAACAACCATTTGATATCATGCACACAATATATAATTCATGATATTCTCAATATTTTTATTTCAATATTTCAATATTCAATATTCATATTCAATATTCAATACTCAACAATATCCTTAAACTATACTTAATCTAAGGCCAATCTTTTTAATGTTTACCAACTCTTAAACTAGTTCTAGTTTAAGGTACTTCTATCCAACTCTTAAGCTAGGTCATTAGTTTAAGGTACATATATTCCGATTGATTTACCAACTCTTTAACTAGCCTTCGCTTAAGGTACAAATCCAGAAAACCGAATAGTAGGATACTAACTGTCGGGTTGGGTGGCATCCCCAAACGAGTTCCTCTAGTTTGGTTATGGATCCCGTACATACGTTTTAACCCAGGCCACCGAATATTCATAATTATACCCGCAAGGCCTATTTCTAAGCCATCTTAGAGGTCTTCTAGATAGTCTTAGAAACCAACGTCAACCTAGGTATATCTTAGAGTTCTTCTAGATATCCTTACAATTCAAATTATTTCATAATCACCAACATATTCATTTCAATTTATAATTTAATCTTCAATAATCATTTTAATAAGTAGTTTCATCAAGTCATAATCATCATAATAATCATTCATCATCAATCAACATAACATTTGATAACAAACAGCGGCCTAGTCTTGAGTGTTAACACCCGAACTTACCGTCATGCATCACATAGTATTTTATATACCAAAAACATCATTTTTATTATACAAAATCATATTTATATTGTGCATAATTAATTTGTATCAAAAATAGGATTTCATAGTTCAAAAATCATGTTTTCTAAACAATAATTGATTAATATATGATAGGAAATCCAATTATTAACTATTAGCTTCATTTTCTTCAATAGTGTAGGGAGACAGTCTACTGTCACTTTTGATAATCTACTGTCCAATGTTCAGAATGGGCTGATAATCGATTATCACACTCTGATAATCGATTATCAAACTTCAGAGAGGGCTAACAGTCGATTGTCACATTCTGACAGTCGACTGTTGCTCAGCTTTGTTCCAAAAATCTGCAGAACGATGAATAATCGATTTTCAAGTTGATAATCGATTATCCATCATCTTCTACCTCGAGCCAACTTGCGGAAATGTCACTTTTACTTACCAAACTTCAATTAAAGTATATAAAATGTTCTCCAAGGTTCATAGATCGTTTTGGCATCATTAATTCATAGTTTTAACATCAAAATCATGGTTTGTGATTCTTAGTTCTTCAAACATGTCAAACACAAAACTCAACCAAATGACGATTTATGAACGTAAAAACGACCTATATGACCATTCTAGTCATTAGATATATCTACGGGCTTACCTTAATGCTAAACGATGATTCCGGTGAAAAGACGGCAAAACTTCCGGCGAATACCACAGCTTGCTCCGACAACTTGACACCAAATTGGTAGTACTAAAACGCTCTTCACACTCAGCTCTTTCTATTGAGATAAGAATGATGAAGAATGGTGGACAATTTGGGGGTTTAATAATAGAGGGTTAGTAGAGGAAGCCATGGGTGATGTCCTTGTTCCCTGTTCCAGCGGTTAAGAGGAGCAAACGGCGATCTTCTACGGGTTTTAAACGCAAGTCCCTGATTGGGACTAATTTTGGTCCCAGTCGGGGTACACTTTTTGGTCCAACTTTCTCCGAATTAAAATCCGATTAAACCGTTGCGGTCAGACAGTCAAACTCTACATAACGATATAATTTTTATTATTTATTGACAAACTTTATAATTCACATATTTTTGGGTCCTTCTCAGTAATTAATTAATTATCAATTAATTAATTCTGATAGGCCTATTTTTGGGGCGTTACACACCAAATACTTGGAGGACTTCGGGATTACTCACAACAAGGCTTCCATGGCATACCCGCAAGGGAATGGCCAGGTGGAGAATGCGAACCGCACAATAGTGGATGCATGGGATCAAGAAGCGGTTGGGTGAGGTAGGAACGAATTGGTTAGAAGAGCTGCCACATATCATCTCGGCATACCGAGTCACCTCGAGAAGGGTCACAGGGGAGACACCTTTCGTCCTAACATACGGGTGTGAGGCCAGATTACCCATCGAAGAAAAAATAATGACCTTCAAAGAGAAGATATATGAAGAGAAAGGGAATGAAGAGGACCATAGAGCAGAATTAAAATGAATGAATATCAGCATGTAGCCAAGGCCTACCACGATAACAGGGTAGGGCCTCGTTACTTCCAAGTGGAAGATGAGGTCCTAAGAAGAAGGGAGGCCAGCAAACCAGGAGACGGTGGAAAGCTTGCAAAGAAATGGGAAGGCCCGTATAGGGTCACAACAGTATTGCGCCCTAGGACATACAAATTAGAAACAATGGAAGGCCGAGAGTTAGAAAGGTGTTGGAATTCCCACCACCTTAGAAAATTCTACCGATAGGTCGAACTTGGCAAGGCATGTACTTGTAATACCCCTTCAATGATAAATAAAAGATATCTTCAATAATTGTGTTGCCAGGTCAATAATACTAAAATAACTTGTCTTGATGTAAGAGGTAGGGTTTAAAAAAAAGATAGACCCTTGAGATAGGGGCCTTTATGTTGAGGTATAGCCTTGAGATAGGCTGGGTGTGGAAGAGGACTCGCGTCCATACTTACATGGATCCCTACCAAATTAAATTTTCGTTTGGATAGAGGCAAAAAGATGCCAAGAGAAAAATCATTTACCGTCCTGCATGAGCCATCCATTGTGGATTGAAAGGTCGAGGGAAGACTAGAATTCACTTCAAACGCATAATATATGGACATGTAGGATTGGATGAGGGCTGGTTCTCACCGGCATACCCCCACGAGGGAAGATTGGGTTGGCTAGGTCAACCTAATGATTAGAGAATGGCACATTAAAAGACTTTAAACCTGGAAGAGGGGCCCCGGAAGAGGGGTGTTGCCTGGAAGAAGGCTGAACCTTGGAGAGGGTTCGCGGCCATAGGACGTGGTCAAAATCTCCGAAGAAAGATTGGGTCTTGATGTTGAGAATTAAGACGAAAACCATTTCGGAATATTCGTTCGAAGTTTTATCAGGGTCGGTGTAGAGCGTAACACACAGGCCAGATGGATATAAGAAAAAGGACATGGTCAAAAAAGTGACCAGTCACTTTTTTGATGTTCTGGATTGACACGAAAAGGCAGACGGAGAAGTTTTGAAATTGACTGGTCAACTTTGGAAAAGTGACCGGTCACTTTTTAATGATCGGATTTGGGAAATTCAGACCAATGTGGAAAAGTTTAATTTTGACCGGTCACATTTTTGACCCGGCACCTGGACAAATATATAGTGCAGAACCGGTCACATAACGCAACCAAGCCAATTAGACCTGGATGTTTTAAAGACCATGGCTTGATTAACCTGGACATTCTTAAAACAATTCCTACGGTATAAGACCGGCTATTTTTTTTGACTGGGAAGTTAAATCAAGAATGTTCAAGAAAAGGCAAGTATAACCCAGCAACTTCAAAAGGAAACCGGGCAAGAAAGACAACCATGCAAGAAACTATACCCATGCGAGAAAATATGTTCAACCATGCAAATATAAACAAATAGACTGGTGGAAGTTAAAGACATTCCAAGAAAAGATGATATTACAACAATTAAATATTAGGCCGGACAACCCCCAGGCCTTGGGAAATTCAAAGTCTATCCAAAAGCTACCCTAACCTATTCTAAGGGGAAAGGGGGGCTGGCTCTTCCTTGTATAGGGCTGGAAGCTTCAACTTGGCCGGGTCAAATGAAGGATCCCTCTTCTAGAGCTTTGTGTAAAGGAGTGACCTATCCTCTTTTTGGCCACACTGGAATCCATAAGACCCTATTTCCGTAATCATCCTCTTCCCCTCCGGCTCCTGATACATGACTTTGAAGAAGTCTATGGTTTCCTCCGGGGTAGTGAGAATTGACCGGACAACCTCCGTGTGATGGCGTGCAGCCCAGTCAGCAGCTTCAGAGGGAAAGGCCTCCTCCTTTGCCCAAGAAGATTCTTCAGCCTGGCCCAGCGCATCCTCGACCTCGGTGACCTTTCTCTTCCCTTCCTCCTCCAAAAGGGCAAACCTGGCCCTCTCCTCCTCTAGCCTGGCCCTTTCCCCCATCAGCTCTTCCTCCAGCCTCTTCTCCCTCTCAGCCCGGTCATTGAACTCCAACTTAGTGGAGTCAAGGAGGAGGGTGAGTTCTGACACTTGGCCCTTTGGTTCAAGGAGTGACTGGCCAATTTCTTCATAAATGACTCCAACCTGAAAAAGAAGCGTGTCAGTAAAAGCAAAGGAAATAACTCAACCGGGTAAACAATTAGAGATGGAATACCTTTTGAAGTCTTTTAATCAAGGCTAAGAAGGCCTCTTCAACGGACTCCCCTTCCAAGTCGAGCGACCCGGTCTTCTTCTTCTTATGCCCCCTAGAAGTCTTATGGGAACCTTTCCTTTTATGGGATTTGGTGCGGGAAGAAGAAAGACCGATCTGTTTGGTCTTTGCCTCGACCTGAGGAGAGTTTGCCCGGTCACTTTCGGAGAGATGGATGGCTGTGGGGGACTTCACCTTCTTGTCCCGGACGAGATCGTTAAGGGGAGTGCACCGGGAAGTTGTATCCCCTTCCTTTTGAGAGGCCTGGGGAGGAGAAGGAGGCATGGTGATGGGAGACCGGCCGCCAGGGAGGACTTCATCGTCGGACTCGTCAAAGTTGGCAATCCTAGTGAAGTTCATGTCTGCCAAAAATAAAGACAAGTGACCGGTTATATATTTCACCTTGTATAAAAAGTTAAGGGACAGTCAAAAGCTTGAGGAAAAATGACTGACCTGGATGAGGAGAACTGCCCTTAGCATGACCATTGGGGAGTTGGCCCGGTCATCTTCTGCGTCATGGGTCGCAAGTACATCCCCATCCGGGTTGCGTAACCGGTACACCCAACCCCCATTTGCATAAGGCTTCCCGGTCACAGGATCACCCTTGAGAAGTTTGTCGCAGGCGTCCTCAAGCTCGGGAGTGGGTTCCGGATGAACCCTTTCAGGTTTTATAACCCAGTTGGCCCACTCAGGGTTAGAGAAGGGGAATTGGTCAGAGGGAAACTCAATGAAAACGAATCTTTGCTTCCATCTTTTATGACTGGGGGAAGACCGGTCACAAATCCCCTTTTGTTGCGGGAATGGAAATAAACAAAGCCCGGGCAGTTATTAGTCCCGGGCAAGACCTCGTACATATGGAGAAATAGTTCGAGGGAAGGTTTGATTTTTAAAGATTTACAAATATTTACAAAACAATTTAAGAACCGGTGAGCGTTTGGAGTAAGCTGACGAGGTAAAACGCGAAACTTATTACAGATCTCAATAAGGAGGGTGCGAAGAGGAAAAATAATGCCCCCCTCCAGAGAAGCAATGTGGAAACCCAACCGGGTTCCTTAGTGGGGTTCTATGACGTTGGGCCAGGAGGTTTTGGAGAGGAGTTTATAGCCCTGTGGGAGGACAGTACTGACCTCGGCCAGGACCTTTTGGGTGACCCTGGAAGACTCCTTGAACACTGGTCTGACATCAAGGGCTAGGAAGCCCAGGGATCCCAGTCGTTCTTCCCATTCCTCTCAACTAAAGAACCTTGAGATTGAATAAACCGGGCAATGGTTCAAGGGGACAGGCTCTTGGGCAATTATTTCTCGAGCCTCAGTACTAGGCTTTTGGGAAGAACGACAGATAAGAGGAGTTGCAGGGGGAGAAGATGATTCAGAATGGGTAGAGGAGGGCTGAGAACCCGACCCATATGACTGACCGGACACATTCTGGCTATCAGAGGATGACATAACTCTAGGCTATCGGTAAAGAATAGAAAGATGGAAGAATAAAGAGACAAAGAGGACTGGAACACTTACTTGGTAGAAAGCTAGAGAGAGAAAGCTTACCGGTTGAAATTGGAAGAGCGAAGAGGAGAAGTGAAGAAATGAGATGGGTTGGAGGGGTATTTATAAGAGAGAGAGAGAGAGAGAGGAGGGTTGGAGTTCGAGGTGATAGGTGGGAGACTAAGATGTTGACACGTGTAGTATGTAATGATGAAGGGAGGGAAAATTCAAATTTTGAAAGGGAAGTTGAAGGGTTTTGGGGGGAAAACAAAGATTGAAAATCCAGGCCTAGCGAGTTAAAAAGGACAAGTGATTCTAAAAGTTCTGGTCAGATAGAACGACTTGGTCAGATAGAAGAACTTGGTGATTCTAAAAGTGACAGGTCCCAAAGAGAAAGGTTTTATGATTCAAAATGGATAGGTCTGATATGAAGATTTGCTGATTCCAAAAAAGGAAAGGTCAGATAGAAGGACTTGGTGATTCCAAAAGTGACAGGTCTCAAAGGGAAAGGCTTGATGATCCAAAAAATGCTTGGCTAAGGGAAAAGCTTGATGATTCAAAACGGACACGTCAGCGAGGGTTACTTTGTAACATCCTAATCCGTCCAGGTCTGCAGCCCCTTTCAGACTAAAGTATTAAATTGGTAATCGTAAAATTTAAAACTTTTCAAACACTTTTATTTATCACAATAATATTTTTCGTAACACATACAGTGCGGAGTTTTCAATATTGCGGAAGCTTAACAAATCATAATTACAAACATAATTTGTTTATGTTCTTTAATTCAAAACCATCACATCCATTCCGACAATCTCGCCTCCGTCTGCCTCCAGAATCACGTCACATCATTCTTTCTATTAACCTGCGTGTAGCAAATAAAACATACTACACGCTCAGCGGTGAAGCTGAGTAAGCATATCTAATGCGTCGAACTTCCATATAAATTGAACCCAAATTCATAATCAAATCATTTGATATCATGCACAAAGTATTCAGTTCAAATATACAATAATCAATTTTCAACATTCGTCATTCAATATTCATATTCAACATTCAACATCCTCATTCAATAATATCCTTAAACTATTCTTAGTCTAAGGCCAATCTATTTGATGTTTACCAACTCTTAAACTAGTTCTAGTTTAAGGTACTTCTATCCAACTCTTAAGTTAGGTCATTAGTTTAAGGTACATATATTCCGATTGATTTACCAACTCTTAAACTAGCCTTCTCTTAAGGTACAAATCCAGAAAACCGAACAGTAGGATA